ACAAAACAAAAACAGAAAACAGAAAATATATGAAACAATGATTCTCAACACATTGAACATGGGGCAATGAAAGAGCATGATCCCAGAGAAAGAGGAAACAAACCAGATAAGCCCTACAACTGTCCCAGTTAACTGCCTTGAGAGTGTCCAGGTTGTGGTGCAGGCAGAGAGAGTGCAGGCAAAGCTTGTAGGATTCCCTTAACTGAGGAGACTTAACTAAAACTCTGGTGAGATCAAGGCAGTGAGAGTTTGCAGGAGAGAATACTGGGAAGGACAGAACTGCAGAGAGAGAAAGAACCTCAGATCTGCAGAGGGCCCCTCTTCAGCATTCACCAGAGTCCTGATCAATGCATGTGTGTAAGGGAAGTACTCAAGGAAAGGAAAAGAACCATCTGGAAGGATTAGAGGGAATGGCAGATTGGTCATTCCAGTAGAAAAGATGATGAACTTGAAAGCATCTCTATAAACTATCCAAAATGAAACACTCAGAGAAAAAAGAATTAAAAAAAATAAAAAGAGCAGCACTGAGCTGTGGGACAACTTCAAGTGGTCTAATAAATGTGTAATTGGAGACCTTGAAGGAGAAGAGGAGGTGAGGTGGGGGGCAGGAAATATATTTGAAGAAATAATGGCTGAAAAATTCCCCAATTTGATGAAAACTATCAACCCAAGTAGGTTCCAGCAGCTCAAGAAATCCCAAGCACAAGATACAGGAGAAAAGTATACCAAGGCACACCATAATCAAATGGCTCAAAACTACCGATAAAGAGAAAAATCTTAAAGCAGCCAGTAAAAAAAGAGACACATTACATCAGAGAAACAAAGATAAGAACAACTACAGATTTCTTGTTGGAAACAATGCAAGTGAGAAGACAGTGGACATTAACATTTTTAAAGCATTGAACAAACAAAACCCAAACAAACCTGTCAAACAGGGATTCTAAACCCAGAAAAAATTCTTTCAAAAACAAAGATTAAATAAAGATATTTTCACACATATAATACTTGAAAGAATTCACCACCAGCAGACCTGCACTATAAGAAATGTTAAAGAATGTCCTTCAGGCAGAAGGAAAATGATACTAGGCAGAAATCTGGATCTACACAAAGAAATGAAAAGCACTGAAAATGGTAACTATATGCGTAAATATGTAAGATTTTTTTCTTAGATAAATCTCTTTTAAAAATAGATAAATTTTTACACAAAAATAATAACAATGTAACATAAAGTTTATAACATATGTATAAGTAAAATGTGCGACAATAGTACAAAGGCCAGGAGGGGAGAGATGAAAGTATACTCTTTTAAGGTTCTTATACCATATGTGAAGTGGTATATCACTTGAAGTAGATTGTGAAAAGTGTACAAACCCTAAATTAAAAATAACAAAATAAAGAGTTATAGCTAATAAGCCAACAAAGGAGATATAATGGAATCATAAAAATACTAAGTGAATCCAGAAACAGTCAGAAAATGAAGAAAAAGAGAATAAAGAATATGTGGGACAAATAGGAAACAAACAGCTATATGATAGACTTAACTCTAAACATATCAAGAATCACATTGAATGTAAATGATCTAAATATCCCAATGGAAAGGGAGAGATCATCAGATTGGATTAAAAACCCCCAGACCCACAAGAAATTAATTTTAAATAAGACACAAATAAGTTAAAAGTAAAAGGATGGAAAAAACATACCATGCTAACACTAATCTAAAGAAAGCTAGAGTGGTTATGTTAATATCAGACAAAGTAGATATCAGAAAAGAATAGTACTAGAAATAAAGAAGGCAATTTCATAATAATAAAGAAGTCAGTTGATCTGGAGGACATAAAAATACTAAACATTTATGCATCTTACAATAGAGTTTCAAAACAAATCTAAAATGGATAGAACTGCAAGGAGAAACAGACAAATCCACAATTATACTGAGTTGCACAGGTTGTCAGATACAAGATAAATAGACACAAATCAATTGTATTTCTATATATTAGCAATGAACAATTGTAAAGTTAAAGCAGTTTAAAACAGTATAGCACATACGAAATACTTCAGGATAAGGCTGACAAAAGATCTGCAAACCTGTTCACTGAGAACTCCAAAACACTGCTGAAAGAAATTAAATAAGACATAAATAAATGGAGAGATATACCTTGTTCATGGGTCAAATGACTCCATATTGTTAAGCTGTCAATTATCATGAAATTAATCAGTAGGTTCCACACCATCCCAATCAAAACCCCAGCATTTTTGTTGTTGTTGAAAATTACCAGCTGATTCTAAAATTTACACGGAAATACAAAAAGGACCTAGAATAGTCAAAACAACTTTGGAAAAGAAGAACAACATTGGAGGACTAACACTACCTGATCCGAAGACTTATTATAAGGCTATGGTAATCAAGACTCTGTGGTGTTGGCATAAAGATAGACAAATAGATCAACAGAACAGAATAGATACCAGAAATAAACCTGCATAAATATGGAGAACTGATTTTTGATAAAGGTGTAAAGGCAATTTAGTAGGGGAATAAAATTACAAAACTTCTAGAAGAAAACATACGAGACAATCTGTGTGATCTTGAGTTAGTCAAAGATTTCTTAGATATGACACTAAAAGCACAATCCATAAAAGAACAAATTGGTAATATGGACTTCATCAAACTTATAAACTTCTGCTCTTCAAAAGACATCATTGAGAGAATGAAAAGACAAGCCACAGACTGGAAGAAAATATTTGCAAGGCAAATATCTGATAAAAGTCTCACATCCTGAATATATAAAGAACTCTCAAAACTCAATAATAAGAAAACCAAATTAAAAAATGGGCAAAAGATTTGAACAAACACTTCAGCAAAGAGGGTACAGATGGCAAATAAGCCCATGAAAAGATGCTCAACATCATTAGTGATAAGGGAAATGCCAATTAAAACCACAGTGAGATACCATTTCACATCCACTAGGATGGCTACAGTTAAAAAGACTGGGCGTACCAAATGTTGCTGAGGATGTGGAGTAACTGCAACTCCCATGCACTGTGGAGAGAATGTAAAATTGTACAACCACTTTAGAAAAGTTTAGAAGTTTCTTAAAAAGTTAAACATATACCTATCACATGATCCAGTCATTTCAGCCATAGGTATTTACCCAGGAAAATGAAAGCATGCATCCATACAGGCTTGTATACGAGTGTTCATAGCAGTGTGATTTGTCAACACTCAAGTGTGAGCCTGCCCTGACTCATAGCTCCTCCCTGTGGTTGTGGCCGCTCCCTGGGGGCTCAGCTGCTCAGGGTGCCAGGCATCACCTGGGGCAAGTGACATGCCCAACACACAGCATCCTGTCCAGGCCTCACGCTGGGCCCCGAGGCGGTCAGCACAGGTGCAGAACCCTCTTTCCTGACTCCCTGTGTGGAGCTCCCTCAGTGCACCCCAAATGGCTGCTGGGCTGCTGCTTCTAGGTCTCCCACCCAGACTGCTCTCAAACCGCAGACCTCAGAGCCCACACCTCCACAGTGAGGCCAGCGTATCTCAACCCCACCAGTCCCAACCTGAGCTCCCGTCTTCCCCACCCTCACAGAGGGCAAGTCGTCTTTCCAGAGCTCAGACCGAGAGCCTTCGTGTCCATCCCCCTGGACCCTCTTTCTTTCAAAGCCCACATCCCGTCTGTCGGGAATCCTGCAAGTCCTTTCTTCAACAGGCTTTCAGAACCCGACGCTCCACCTGAGCCCCACCTTCCGTCAGCTCCTGCAGCCTCCAGCACTCAGCCGCCCCACCCCATCCTCCTGCGCCCTCCTGCTCTCCTCTTGTTACCTGCACCAACTCCGGTGCTCCAGCCCTGGCTCTGGCCACCCCTCCACCTGCTGTTCTTCTCCAGTGTGGAGCACAGCTAACATCTCCCCTTAGGTCTGCCTCTGCCTGCAGCTTCTCCAGGGCCCACCTTGCCACCCACTTAATACTGCACTTCCAATGCCCTCCTCGCTGCTGCCCTTACCTTATTTCCACAGCATCTCTCTCTTTCTAAGGCACCTACTCACCCTGTCTACTGGCCATCTGCTGACAGAGGCGCCCAGAGGAAGGCCTGTGTTCGCCACATCCCTGCTGCCTCCTGGGCCCTGAGCGGTGGTGGCCACATGGCTGATGTGTCCAGTGGGTGCATGAGCGGACCGTGAGGCCCTAAACCACTGAGTGTGTGGTGTGGTCAGGCATTGCTATGCTGCCCACCCAACCTCGACCAGGGGACCGTGGGGAGGACTGGCAGAATCTGTCCAGGCAACCTGGGCACACAGGGTGAGCCCCTGAGGCCCGGTCAGAGTCTGGGAGGCAGGGCAGCTTCCACTCAGGGCAGGCAGGAAGGGGACTCCTGCTGAGAGGCGGGCATTGTGGGCAGGCCATCCCCGGCCCTGGATGCTTGATGGGTTCTGGGAGAGGCTGTGGGTCTCTGCCTCCCTTTCAGACTCCACTCTACCTCGGGCAGGGTCCTTTGTTGCTTGCCCTGAGGGAGGCTGCCCGTGCCTGGGCCTGTGTCCCACCCAGGGCTTCAGCGTCCAGAAGGGGCACAGTGGGCACCTTAAAGGTGAGCACAGCTGAGCAGCCTGTCTGTTGCAAAGTGAGCCAAGCAAACAGTTCCGTGAACGGTGTGAGGTGCACACGCTCCACGCGGGGAAGCCCCTGGGTTCACCATGCACTGTCCGGCCTCCCACGCCCATGGTGGCAGTGGGAGAGGACAGTTCTGCAAATTAGAAACTGGCACTTTGGCACCAGGATAGAACAGAGTTTTCATTATTATCACTTGAGGCAGTTTTGCAAAAGTAAAACTAGAACGACTCGTGCGAGTCAAACACTTAAAAGGGTCTGGAGGCAGAGGGGGAAACCTTAGCTCGAGGGAGAAAGAGTGGCTTCTTCAGGCAGCAGGCCAGCCCGGGGCCCGGCCTCACAGGTGCGTGTGTGTGCAAGTGTGCATGCGTGCGTGAGAGGGGGCACAGAGAGGAGGCAGAGCCAGTGGGGGCAGCCCACGACATTTATTGAACTCTGACATGGTGTATAGGCGCTTCCTGGCCACTCCACACTCTCCAGGCCCCCAGAAGCCCCCCGGGGGCCATGCGTGCCTCCCCAGCACGTGACGTCCCTGTGAAGTCAGGGCCCCAGCACCCCTACTTCACCCTGCGCCTCAGGTCAGGACCCTGCGCTCTCCATTCTCCTTCCTTGGCCACAAGGGGAAAGGCGCACTCTGCACAAGACCCACGTGGACACGTGAGCCAAGACCAGCACAGGCTGCGAGGGAACAAGGTCAGCAGGTGGGGCAGGTGAGTGGGGAGCAGCTCAAAGCAACCACGGTTCTAGACGGCGTAGGAGACGCTGAGGAAATGCTGTCAAAATGGCAAACCAACTCTTAAAACAGGTACACTGACACTAAAGAACAATGTTTCTAGAATGTCACAGATGGGAATGCCCCCAAAGCGTTTAAAATAAGTAACACTGCATGCCAATGCATCAACAGAGCGGAGCATAAATTAAAGTACAGAGCAGAATCAGGGACAGAGCCCGGACCTCACATACAGATATGAGTATTGACGGGCTTTGTTGGTGTGTGCAGATCTCTAGGGCATAGATACTTCTGTTAGTAAAGAAAACCTCTATTTATATATGGACGAAGGGCAGGCGGTCTGTACAGAGTGTGCGAGCTGGGTGGAGGTCAGGGTTCACGGAGTAGAGGACGCTGGGCAGGATTAGAGTGCGCCCATCCCAGTGACCTCAGACGTCAGCCTGGAAGATACAAAGACAGGGTGGGACAGGTCACCACGTTCTCATAAAGCGGGATTAGAAACAACAGCTGTCGCTCTGCGGCATTCTCACAGGCTTTGCACTTTCCTCCCTCTTTATCGTGACAGGTCAGCCCAGGTCACTGTTCAGTGGCTGTGAGCTGGAAACCAAAGCCAAGCAGAGTGGGGAGGACACACCAGGGACCAGATCCACAGGATCTTCCTTCCCTGCCCACAAGGGCCACGTGCCTGTCACCACATCAGGGGCATGACGATAAGCACGTGGACAAGCACAACCATTTCTATGGTGACCAGTTGGGGAGGGGCACCGAAGTCACAGTGCCCACGGGGGGCTGCCTCCCCAGTCCACCTGACCTCCTGCGAGCCTGGCTTGACCTTCTGGGTTAGGGAGGAGGGTCTGGCCCCTGGTGGAGGGAAGACAGGGGCCCCTTCCCATCCTCCTGCTCGGTCCCATCTCCCCAGGTGTGGTCACCCAGTGTTCACTGACATGCCCCTGGCAGGGAGGCTGAAGTGGTGGCCCAGGCATGGCCAGGAGTGTCATCCCTGGCTCTCGGGCTCCTTGCTGTGTGCCATGGCCCTGCAGCAGGACCTCACCTCCCCCAGCAGCATGACCTCTGACGCTCACACACTTCCCTGATACGATGCTCAGCAAGCGTCTGGGTGGGGGATCTTTATAACCAATCACAGGACATGTGAAAGCAGAATGATCTAGTAATGTGTTGTCTGAAACTACATAACACTTTATGCTACATACCCTTTCACTTAACCCAAGCATGTGGTTGACCTGAGGCCCCGGACCGTGTAGCCACCCTGGAAATGCTCTCTTCTATTACCACCTAGGCCCTCACTAGAGACTCTTCAGTGTAAAAGTGCAGAGGAGGGTGTGGGGTCCCTGTCTACATAGAGACTCTCTCCATCACATTCCACCCACAAGCCCAGCCACACAAGAGAAGCCCCCAGAGGGAGGCAGGACGCTGTCCATGCTCCTGGCCATGGCTAGCCAGTCCCTCTGAGCCTCCTGTTGGACCAGTGACGCTTGCTGATGGTGGGCTCCATGAGCACTCACCTGGCATTGATGAGGTACTGGGCAAGGCTGATGTTGGCTGGGGTCCCTGTGATGGTTATCTGGCGCTCTGATGACCCCTCCGTGGCATTGGCAATTTTGATCTGAGCTCCAGACATCTGTCGAATTTCATTGATTTTGGTCCCTTGGCGTCCAATTATACAGCCTATTAGCTAAAAAAAAGGAGGCAGGGATTTCTTAGAGAACAGCCCATGGCAGCCCTGAGTGGAGAGTGCGCAGAGCCCTCCGGGAAGCCTGTGGGGACAGGCCCAGCCTTGGTCTCCACCCTATGCCACAAACTCCGTGCTTCTGGAAGGAAGAGGCACTGGCCACCCCGGGAGGGAAGGCATGAGCGTGTGCCCACCTTCCTGCTGGAGGGATGGGAGCTGTGGCACCTGGGCTCTGCTTGGTGCCCTGCTGCACGAAGTCCCAACAAATCAAGAGACCAGTGAGAGCCACGCAGCTGGTCACCTCTCCTGGTGTCCTTTGGAGGCCTGATGTCAGCAGAAAGGCTGAGGCCATGTTAATGTCTTCTTGGCTGCATCCTCAGGGTAGTGGGATATTTGTTTGAAGCCAGAGTAAAGCTCACTGCTGCCTGAAACCTGTCTTTCAATGAACTTGGATGAAATTCTAAGGACATCAGATGTTCCCTTTCCTTCCCATCATGTGACCTCTGTTTAAAGATGGGATGCTTTGGCCTCTGGCCCTCTGAAGGAGCAGGTGGTCACTGAGAATGAAACAGTAAGAGGGACAAGTGCCGGGGCCTCCCCAGGACTCAGGAACAGCCACGGTGGGGCCGGATTGCAGCCTGAGGCCTAGACTATCTCTCTATGGCAGCAGAGCTGCGGCTGAGTAGGCCCCTCGCAGCCCACCCTGCTGTGTGGGGACAACTCGGACCCCAGAGAAGCCTCCACGGAGGATGGCAGGCACCTCTCACTTTTCCCTTCATTTACACAGGGGCCGCTGATGAGAGCTCTGAGAGCGAGCACGGAAAGAAGAGGCAGGACAAGTGGGGCCAGGGGGGCGGGCTTCCAATCCCACCTCCCGTGTGGTGACAGGCGAGGTAGCCTGGCCAAGGGCGTCAGCAGTGTTGGGAGCACGCTTCTGCAATTATGCCGCGAGGTGCTGGATGGAGGAGCTGGGCCAGAGGTGCAGGAGGGACATCCATTTCCAAATGGAAACGACTGAACCTACATGATGACAGCAGCTCACTGGGGACACAGGAGCGTCTGAACTAGCTCTTGTCCCTGAGGTGACCCCCAGAGTTCCAGTTCTGCTCCTTTCCTAGGTTAGACCAGCTGCCTCACTAGACCATAACACAGTCTCTCCAAATGTGCAGAGAAACCCGTCCCCAGCTGCTCAGCTTCCTCCACCTCCCGCCCACAGCCAGATCTTTCTCCCAGGAAGGATCAAGGGCTGTGCTCTGCAGGGCACATGGATCCAACAAAGAAAGGATCCAGATCCTTCTGAGGAGCTCCTCCAGGAGGAGGGGTGGCAGCGAAGGGCTGGGAGGGGGCCACAGGAAATAGGTGCATCAGCTCCAAACAAGCTTCATTCTCTTGTCTTTTAGGTTCATTTCAGCTTTAAAATGAAGCCTTGGCCAAGAGCAAGATACCTGGTGTTGGTGAAACAGTGATTTAAGGAAAAGGCTACAAAAGAGGAAACCCACAGGGTAGAGTGTGGCACTCGCATTTATCACCTGGGTGAGAAGACTCTGGAGGCTGCCTGGAGCCACGCTGCTCAAGGATGATCCACAGTGAGAGGACAGTGTCAGGAGCCCTTGGAGGCAGAGACCCTCCCCCTTTGAGGGGCAGGGGCCCTATGCAGGAGGCCTGGGACAGGCACCACTGGCCTGTGCAGGAGCTAGCCTGCAGCTGGCATGAGGAGCCTGATAAGGATGGTCTCTTCTGGAAAGTCCTCTCCTCTGGGTGCCCCTCACCTCTCTTCTGCCTCTGTTCCTCCTGCCCTATGGCCCATCTCCTTCCACACTCAGGATGGGCCATCCCCTTGAAGTCAGGAGTCTGTGCTTCCTGTGGTTAGTCTATGTGAAGGGAGGAGGCAGGGCTAGCGTTTCCCACATTGCTGGTGTGAGGGGCAAAGCACTGAAGGTTCCTGAAGGCCTCAGTTCTGGGATGGAAAAGGCCAATAGACACGTGAGTCAGAAAGGCAGCGTCTCCATGTGGTGGCCTCTCTGTGCTGCTCCAGTGGCCCTTCCAGTTCATGTGGCCCACACCTGCCCTGGTGTCTTTGTCTGGGGACTGGAGTCAGCATTCTTAGGATAATCCAAGGATTTAGAGGATGGTGCTAGGGAGGACTGAACGTGTGGAGGGGAGCTCGTAAGGCCACACCCTCAGCTAACAGGAACAGACAGTGGGCACTAGATACAGGGATCCAGACCAACCTGCAATATCTTGACATCCTGTTGGAACAGACTCACAGAGAATCCCAAACCCTCCAGAGGCCCAGGGCACACGGGACCAGTCTACTCTAGAGCATTCCTGGGTCATCCGTTCTTCAAGGGCTCACCCTGAACCAGGGCAGTGCCTTCAGACAGGGTCAGTGGGGGCCCTCAGCCTTCCCAGCAAGCTATGGCATCTAAATTCTGAAGAAACTCTGAAGCCCCGTTGGCTCCTTTCTTGTCTGGTATCTTAGGTATGACTTCACATAACTTTCCTGGGCATTAAACTGCTTAACGTGGGAAGGGAGAGGGAGAGGTCATACAGTAGAGTAAGGGGTGGGTGAGGGCTCTGGGCATACTCACATCATTGGGAATGGTGAGCTCGTGAGTGCTGGCCGGGGGGCTGGCGTCCAAACCTGGGTATACCAAGGGGACATGGTTAGGCTGGCAGAAGGCTGCTCATGTATGCACCCTGGCGCCTGACCCACACTTGGCCCACACAGGCAGGGCAGGGCCAGGGGCTGGCCCGAGGGTGAAGGTCAGCATAGCTGGCGGCCCAGGGCTCTGTGAGCTCTCAGTCCCAAACGGCAACCCAACTCCTGAGTCCCAGCTTCTCTCAAAACAGGGAAAGAGAAACCCAAGCAGAATGATGTTTCACTTTTTCGTTTTGGACACATCATGATTTTACTCCCCTGCCGTCTTCTATAACCTCTCGTGACACCCTTCACAGACACCCCAGGAAGCCCTGTGCTAAGCGGCTCTTGGGGCATGGCCTGTGCCTTGGGGCCTCCTTGGCATGCCCAGGGCACAGGCTGTGCTGGTCATATGAACCCTGGCTGCCCACTCTCCCTCTGTGCTCGGTCCCCTCTGCTCTTCCCTCTCCCAGACCCAATAGCGCACGGCCTCCTCTGCAGACCACCCGCCCCCCTGCGGCATCAGCTGCCTCTTATTCACTACTGATCCAGCTCTGCCCAAAGGCCCCTGCACAGCCCAGCTCTGGGGCCCAGGCCCACTGTGCAACTCTTCCAGTTTGGAGCAGGGAGACCTGATAATTTCATTGATTGAAAACTAAACTGCTAGGACGACTGGAAGACTGTGCATTTCTATATGTGCATCCTACGCTGAAGATGAAGAGACAGGCACAATTTGTCACTATGCGCCCAATTTTTATCTTTACAAATCTCAGCTTAGGACCTACCAAATCAAAGACAGCTTCTCAAGAGTTCAAGGACAAGATCTACACTTGCTTTGGAAACAGTGACAACAAAATACACGATGCGCTGTGACGGGGGCACCAGCAGGGACAAACACCAAGGCGGACAGGCTCCCTTGTACTCAATGCTTCCAGCTCCTTGTCAGGAGGCATCTCAAATTCAAAGTCCACAGCTGAGACCCTGCTCTTCCCTCCCACGTGGTCCTGGCAGTTCGGGGCCCGCAGCTCAGTCCAGACCCTGGAGCTCTGGGCTTCACCTCTTCTCTCCACTCACAGTCAACTATCACAGACCCGGCTCATGTACCTTCAGAATCTTCTAGAACCTGAGCCCTCTTCCTACCCCACACTTCTCCCTCACTGGTCCCTGTCTCTGTCCTTGTCCCTCAGTCCAATCTCCACACGGCTCAGAGAGGTCCTGACAAAATGTAGGTCAGATGCCTTCAAGACTGCTCAAAACCTGCCGACGGGCTCCTGCTTCCTTACAGCGTCCCCTGCCCCTTAGCCCTGTGTTCAGCCACATGGTCTTTGCTGCCCCAACCTCTGCCTTGCTCTCCTCGACCCCTGACCTCAGGCTGGCCTATGCACAATCTCCTCTCCCCACCCACCCACATCCCCCACCCCTATTCCTGCCTCTTCCTCCACAGCATTTGTGTCCCCGAAACCAGATGCACCTCCATCATTGGTCCCCCTGTCATGAGTGACCCTATGAGGGTGGCGTTGTTCTGGCGGCCTGTCGAGCATGGGGACTCAGTTGGCATCTGCTGAATGAACCAATTCATCCCAAATTGTCTGTTATTTTTCTTTCATATATCTAAACTTAGAGTTTCCATTATTTATCTTCTTTCCCTCTTCTTTTTGGGTGAGGAACACTGGCTCTGAGCTAACATGTGTTGCTAATCTTCCTCTTTTTTTGCTTGAGGAAGATTAGCCCTGAGCTAACATCTGTGCCAATCTTCCTCTATTTTGTATGTGGGCTGTCATCACAGCATGGCTTGACGAGTGGTGTAGGTCTCTGCCCGGGATCCAAACCCATGAACCCAGGCTGCCAAAGCAGAGCCGGCTGGACTCAACCACTATGCCATGGGGCCGGCCCCTTTATTTTCTTTTAATAAAGATAGTTGCAATACAATTATTTGGTTGTTCGACCATCTATACACATTCCATAAACAGTGACATTTAAAATGTCATTTAAGAGAACTCCTTAGTCCTGAGTCCTGGACAGGAACTCAGGACAGGAACTTTGGGATGGACATAAAGCCTCGTCACATCTGTTCATCTTGGTTTATTTTGATGGAGGGGAGGGAAGTATGAGGTTTCTTTTTAAGTGGGTACTGAAATTAAATAATTGGAAGACGTATCTGTTTAAAACTCACATTCATGTATCTCAGGACTATGTAGCCCAGTAGTGAGTATCCCTCTCTGAGATGATGATGTTTCTTGCACTGTGATGTGAGTAATGTTTCCCCCAAACAAACCCGAGCCTGCTCTGGAAGCAACACTGACATCGGCCTTCAGGGGGATGTTAAACAAGCAAACACCTCTCGTCACTGCCTACCCTACTTAACCTGCTGTGGTGGGACATGTGCGTACACATGTGCATGTGCTGTGGGTCCCATGGAGTCTTGGGGAGGGAGGTCATAACAGGGATGTCTTAACAAGGCCATGTGCATACACGTACCATGTCACTGAGGCACTGAAGTCTGTGCTGGGAGGGGCCGTGGCAGGGGGAGTAGACAGCTGGGCAGGGGTAGGGGTGGTGTCTGTGGGCTCCGGGCAAGCCAGGCCCTTGGGGTCCCCAGGCCATCTCCAGCAGACCATTGCTGGGTAATTATATGAAATCACATTATAAACTGCAGAGGGCTGTGCAGACACGTGTGTTATCACCTAGATATGTAACTTTGTAAGGGTTGGTATCCATTTCCTCAACAAAAAAACATTCTATAAATGTTTTTCTCTAATTTTCATTCATTAAATTCTGCATTAACTTCATCAAAGGCTGCACTGAGATGGAACCCAGCATGAGTGTGAGGAGCATCAGAGCCCACATCTTGGCCTGGAGAGATGCCCCCCACTCTCTGTGGTGCACACCTAACGGTCCCAAGGGATGCTTGAGGGGCAGAGGCGGCCCGTGGGGAAATCTCAGGACTTCCTCCAGCCTCAGTGGTGCCCTGGGGCCCAGAACACACCAATGGGGGTAGAAACTAACACCAGCTGGACAAGCTCATCTCCCGCATTTCCCTTTTAGCAGAAATCACTCTTCTGCTCTGATCCAGGATTTCAAGAGGCCCAGGTAGGGATGAGAGAATGGGCACCTCCCTCATGGGGAACCCACTACACCCAGGCCACGCACGTACAGTGGCTTCACTCCCAAACGACCATGTCAGTAAGCCACACCCATCGCTCCAGGCCCTGGGAAATAGGATCTACAAATCCACGCACTGCCCGCGTGTGCGATCTCCCAGGAGCGCTTTAATGCAAATTAGCAGGGGGTGTGGACAATCTAGCCCAGAGCCATCTTCTCCTGAGAGTGTGTTCATAGCTCCTATAAACACCTCCTGGAAAGCACACATCGTGGTAAATCCTTCACTGCAGGCCCCCACACCCTGTGCCACTGGAGGATCAACAACAACATAGACAGTGGCTCCACCATGTTTGGGGCCTTTGGGTGATGGGGCAGCCATGCTCTGAGCACTGTCAGAGCCCACAACCCACCACCATGCTCCCAGCAGCGACGGAGACAGAAGGTGGAACTGCGTGTGTCGACTTGGTGCCGGCCGTACGGGCTCTATCCCCAGATGGCATTGGCTGTCCCTTCCCTGAGGCGCTTGCCGTCCCCATGGCAGACGCGAGTGGCCCCGTTGCCCCCTTCTCCTGCCAGGTTGGTGACCTGGAGCCGAGTAAGGGCAACTGTGCAGTCTTCCTGGCCTGACTGCCCTCCATTTAGTGTGGTTTTGTTTTACCTGATGACTGGCCCATCAGATTTTGAGCTTCTTCGGAGGAGTGTAAAGGCAGCTTTTCTCCTGGAGAGCAAAGAAGAAACAGATTTAAGGTTTTGCCCTCAAGGAGATAAGCAAGACCACTTCAACTAGGGAAGCTCAAAGTCTGACTGGTGTGCGTGGCCGACCAGCAAGCCCAGTGGGTTCTCACCAGCCACGGCCGCCGAGGCGATGCTCTGCTGTCATGGGGATGAACGCCCGCTGGCCAGACACAGCTGTGGGAAGGCCCGCCCCCGCCCCTGTGCCAAGCGGGTACTGATGGCGACTGCGCCCTGGGCTGGGGACTGGCTCATCTCAGTTTCCCAAGGGCAGGGCTGGGCGCCGTCCTGGGTGGGTGTCACTCCTGGGATGTGCACAGGCCTCCTGCAGAAGGGCATCTCCTGCTGTCTGCTTGCCTGAGCTCTTGCTCCTGGAGAGAATGCACTCCAGGGCTGGCCAAATGGATGTTTTCAGCAGGAAGGGCCCCCCAGCAGAGAGCAGGCACGGACCCTCAGGGGGGGCAGACATCTCTTCACAAGATTGCCAGCTGTGGGGCGACTAACCCACCACAGGAGGCACACGACAGGCCTCCCCGCCCAGCCCTCAGCAGCGTGCACACCACTGTGTGTGAACGCCACACACTTGGCAGTCAAAACTAGAACCGTACCTGTTCTGCTCACTGCCCTGAATAAAGACAGTTCAGAAAGAGAAAGTCCCCAGGTGAGAAGAGAGGAGGTCAGAAAGGGCGGCTGGGTACGTACCGGGGAAAGCGGGGTTGGTCTGTCCGAGGGGAGGAAAGGGGGTTTGCTGCATGGCCAACTGGTGGAGCTTGGTCAACTGCTGGGGGTAGGAGGGACATGAGAGCTAAGAAGGTTATTGTCATCGAGTACAAGTCACACCAAATTAAAAAGGCAGTAACAGAACTTTGTACAAATAGATATAAAGGAGGCCATGCGGACACATGGCAGACGCAGCAGAACTCAAGGACTTGGCCTGGGAAAACCAATGGGCCATTTGGCAGGTGCCCCAACGGCCATTCCTCTCCTCGGCTCCCTGGCAGCTCCAGCCCAAACCAGTCAGCCTTCCCCTCTCACATGAGCCTGGGCAGACCGGTGCGGAGGGGTGGGATGGCCTGTGGAGGCCGCTGGGTCCACTGGGCTCCACAGGGAGGGTCTGAGAACCACAGAGCAGAACCAGCTGGGTCTGTACAAGCTTCAAAGTCTGAGCTGCTACTCAGAACGCACGAGCATCTGTGGGAAATCCATGCGATGCTCCCTTCTGCAAACCTCGTGAGGCCCCAGCCCTGCACTAGGCCTGGATCACTCCCACGGCCAGCCTTGCCTTCCCTGCAGGGCCTCGCCCCACCGCAGACGTGACTTGGAGGGGGCTGCTCACGGGGCCCACACGCCTCCTCCTATGACTTCCAGGATTACACAATGTAGTTCTGGAAGGTTCCATGGAGGGCGAATGTGAGAGCCGCCTAACGGGCACGAGGGGCTCTTGTTTGGAGCCACCTTGCGCCTGCACCCACCATGTCGGAGCAGGCTGCTCCTTATCCCCTTGTCCTCCATCCCCAGCCACTAGACTATGGCGGGGAGGGGGGCGCTTTGGAATGCAGTTTCTTTAATTATTTTATCTGAGCCTTACTTCCTAAATAAAAACTAAACGTAACAGAAGATAAAGGTAGATGTGGCCAGACTTGGACACTGGGGAGTTGAAGCTGGCCAGCTGAATGCTCGGAATCCTCTCACCCTCTGGAGACGTCCTTGTCCTTAGGCCTGGCTTGCCCACAGAGCCCCACCGCGGCAGAGCGAAATACACTCAACTCCTGATCTTCTCCCAACAGAAAGACCAGCCAAACGCGTCCCAGCCCAGGCTTCCAGTGCCGGCCCTGGACTCTTGTCCGGAGCGAGTCCGGGGGCCTCCATGGACATCCTGGACACTGGCGGGTGGGGCCCCTCTGGGCATAGGGCTGGTATCCCCCAGTAACACGAGGATTTGACTAGGCACCCACATGTGTCCCATCATGCAGAATCTGGGCTCCTTCAGCTCCAAAAAAATGTGGTGGGGAGGAAGCCACTGTGCCAGAGGCACAGCACACAGATTTTCAACGTCCCAGGGCCCTCAGAGACGAGCCCTCAGGGCAACAGCGGAGCAGGTCTGCTGCTGGCCTTCTAGGAGCTGGGCACGCTCTCCTAACAATTTAGCCCAGCGCTAAGATAAACTCCAAATGCCAATTCCCAGTACAGGGAGGATCATGGCCGCTCCCCAGACAGCCCCTCCCTGAGAGCCCCCTGCCCCTATCCATGTGCCCTGCGGATGCAGCTGTGGGAACAGGGCCTTGTGGTACACTGGCCAGTCAGTCCAGCCTCCTCCTGCTTCCAGATTGGGGCTCAGCACGTGTGGACCCCAGCTGCAGCCTGGAGCCGAGCCATGACCAGCCTGTGGCCTCCCGGTTGGTCACATCTTTGAGGTAGAATCTTTGCTGTGTGAGTTGCTGGGATGCAGGGTGTGGTTGCTGCAGCAAAGCTGCCACACGTCTGTCTTTCCCGGCTGCTCCTGTAGCATTTGCACCGCAGGGGTGTCTGGTTTAATCCTTCCCCCCTGGAAACGGTGTGTGCAACTTAAAAGGAGCCCTCTCCCCTGTCCCAGGCCTCTCCTGTCTTCTGGGGTGCTCCCTGATCTGCAGCATGAGGTGGGCGTGCTCAAGGGAGAACCAGCTGCATCCCAGAGGCCACTCCAGGTGCAGCTGTAGTGGCTAGGGATCCTGAGGAGCACAGGCTAGGGGACGTGGTGACCTGGGGTCAGATTCAGCTATAAGCCTCCCCAATAAGGCAGGGGCTGGGGACTGATGCCACACCTGCTGCCTGGCATGTCTGCCCCATGACCTAATGTCACTGGGCACAGTGTATGTGACCTGAGCAGATATGCATTGAAGCCCCTGAGAAAGCTGTGAGAAGAGCCCGCGCAGGAAACACCATCACTGGCATAAGAGGTGAGACACGGAGTGCACCCACTGTGCCTGGGGCGGGATGACTCTGCAGGTAAGGGGCCTGCAGAGGTTGGAGACCTGGCTACGGGCTCGGCATCCTAGCAAAGCCTCCTCTTTCCAGGGACACGTAAGCGCCTTCTAGAAAGATGGCGAGTACCCACAGGCGCCCTGGGGTGTAAGGGACGAGTGTGGAGAGACCAGGCATGGCTGAGGCCTTCTGGGGACTGAACCTTACAGATTTGATCAAGCAAACCTCGTCTCCCACTTGATGGGACCAGGAGCAGAGGGAGCTGGGGTCCCTGTGCACAGCAAGTCACACTGAGTCACGGGGGACATCTGGCGGGGGGCTATGTTCTCAATCCACCTACATGGATGAGTTTGAACTAGGTCTAAGGTTTCTTCACAAGGGAGAGAACTACAACTTCGTAGATTGGAGGAGGAAACCCTGTTTCAGAGACAATAAATGTAAAGTTGAAGAGTTAAGGTCATCCGAAGTCTGGCTCAGGGCTGTCTGGTCGTGGACCAGGCTACGTGCTCTGACCATCACTCGGATTTTGATACAGACACAGCACTGGCACAAAGAGAGCAGCCTGCTGCGTGAACAGCCTCTTCACCCAGGGCATGGGGCCAGTGGGGAGCCTCAGGGAGCAGCCCCGCATGCAGTGAGGTCTGCTGGTGCCTGCAGGGCCTAAGGAGCCCTGACTTGGCTGCTCTCTGCTCCTGGTCTGCTATTTCACCCCAGTGGGATAGAGGCCTGTCACCTGCTCATGCATCGGACAGTCAGACTGGCATGCTCCCCTTGAGGGCAGGGCCCTCTCCTATCTGTCCCCAGGAGTGCACAGCTGTCAGGACGGCAGGGAGAGCAGGGCACTGCCCTGGGCTCTAGAGGCAAGAGAACCGGCCTGCGTTGGCTACAACACTGACTGGCCTTGTGGTGATAGGCATGTCTGGTCTCTGTAGGCCTCCGACCCCCAATCTGCGAAATGGGGGAATCCGTGTGACTGAAGAGCAGGCTGTGAAGTGCTGTCCACGTTGGTTGCGGTGAATTACCATCATAAACTACCAGGGGCTTTCCCACCCACTGCCCACAGGCTCCATGACTTCAGATGCTCCTCTGGTCTCTCCAACGCCTTCCTCACAGTTACACAGGTGAGGTGCATCCAGCAGGGTCTGCTCCAGAGCCCACCGACGGCGCATGTTACAGGCACAGCCAAATAATCCACAAGGTTGCCTCCGCTCCCACCGGAAAGTCTGACACTCCGAAGTTCAGCAATTCCAACTCTAACCTCTCTTATTGCAGTGTATTTGCTACTTTTTATGAAACAAGGCCACACCAGCAAATAAATCCCTCCTCCACTCATACACCCAAGAATGTAAAGTGATGTCTTGGCGAAGGACTGGACCGGCACACGTGGTGCCTGGACAAACATCCGTCCAGTGGGTGGGTGGACAGACATATGTCAGCTGGCATCTTTCTCTTCCCGGCTCTGCACTTAATTAGTCAAGCCACTTCACCTCTTTGGGATTCAGTTCCTACATTTTTTAAAGGACAGAGTAGGACTGAGTGCTATGGGGAATTCCTGCCTTTTGAGATATTTCTGCCATAAAAAAAAATCATAGACTTCTGGTTCTCACCATGCCTTCAAATACTGGGCGGCGGTGGGGGGAAGGAAGGGAGGAGGGAAGGCAGTGGGAGGGAAAGAAGGGGAGGGGAAGGGAAGGAAGGAGGAGGGCAGAGAAGGAAGGACAGGAGGAAAGGAAGGATGGGGAGAAGGGAGGGAAGCAGGAGAAGGATGGAAGGAGGGGAGTAGGAAGGAAGGAGGGGAGGAGGGAAGCAGAGAGAGGAGGCAGGGTGTCATATCATAGATATTTCTCTGTAACTTGCTTTTTCCATTTAATGTTGTGTTGTAATATAAACACATAGACAAATACTAAACACAGAAGACACTAAAATCATAGGTATCTGTAAGTATACAACTCAGTGAGTCATCACAAAATGAATGCGCCATGCAGCTATCCCTCAGTCAAGGAACAGACCATCACAGTAGTTTAATCTGTTCATGTTTCTTCTCCTGTGAAATACTTTGTTTGTGTCTTTTGCCCATTTTTCTATTGGGATGATTTTCACTGATTCACAAAAACTCGTTATGTATTTCAGATACTAATCCTATTTCAGTTACATGTGGTGAAATGATCTTTTCCCCACTCTCCTTATGGTGTTTTTAGAGAAAGAGAATTTTAAAATTTTAACGCAGTTGTAAGGGAGCAGAATTTGTCACTCCAAAATACATCTGTTTGGCGTAAGGATTATTTCAGGCTGGTTATTTTTAAGAAACAGTAGACATGGGAGAAACTCTGCAACTGAGTAGAAGTTACCCTTTGTAAAAGATGTTTACATTTGTAAGGGTGTCTCCCTGTGGTACCAGGAGAAGGGGGATGACCTTATCTCTAGAAACTCTTATCAGTGGAGAAGGCAAAGATTTAAATCTGCATTAACAACCTTACCCGTAACTCACTCCCTACCCCCAACATCTCCTTTTGTCTTTAGCTGAAGATGGTACTTAAGATGGTGGCTTCAACCATTTCGGGGAGTTATTACTCAGTTGTTCTGGGTCTCTCCCATGTATACAGGAGGTATCCATGTTATTAAACTTTTGTCTGATTTTTTCCTGTTAATCTGTTTCATGTCAATTTGATTATTAGACCAACCAGAAGAACCTTGAAGGGGGGAGGAAAAATTTGTTCCTCCCCTACATAGTCAAATTCATCAATATTTTCTTTATGGTTTGTGTTTATGCTTTGTTCAAGAAATCCTTCCCTGACCTGAGAACAGAAAGATATTCTCCTA